GCAAACCCCATCAGCAACTAGTTTTGTYGAGATGTCTCAGAGTCTCAAAGGGGTTATGAGAAGAAAAACACACAATTGTTGTCACACAACCACATCTCAGAGAGATGATAGAGAGAGAATGATAAAGTTGTATCATCAAATTCTGAAAATAACATTTAGTCATAATTTAAGATGTATTGTGAGTCAAATAAGACAAACACTCGTGGGCAAAACCACTTTCATTTTTCTTTGGGCGATCAACTGTGTGCATCAAAGTCTGTAGGAGGATTTTGTTAAAACAAAGAACAATGGTTACWTCATTTAGTTTTGGCACATCATCTATTTCTTTTAATGGCACCGGAGGGAGATACAGAAAGCTCTGYGAAAGACATTATTCGTCCTCTAGTCATTTTTGTTTTATTTTCATTTGGTTCTTCTGATCCCTGGCTCAGTGCTCTACACTTCTGTTCTTCAGTATGAAGACATCTGCAGGAGGAACTGGTTCCAGGTGGCTTCTCCACAYAACTGGCCTTAAAAAAAGGGGGCCAGTAATGTGTGTCAGGAGGTTCGACAGAGACAATTAAACACTTTTGGTCAAATTTTCTGTGCAGCTGTTCCCAAAAGCCACCGTCTGTATCAGCGTGTGAATCTCTCTACCTGTGTGTGCATATGCAAATTCAGAGCGATTGTTGTTTTATGCATGAGCTTGTAAACAAAGCGTGTGTTTGTGTGGTTGCGTGTGACACACGGTGATTGGATGAGCAGGCTGAAATGCTGCGTGAGCTGTTTTTTTTYCCCTTGCTCAGGTTACATGATGTGTGTGACAAATTTAGCACAAGCCTCATAACACTTTTCAGAAACACAAAGCTTGTTTAGCGCCGGGGCTGCTGGGACCTTCCTYACAGACGCTGACAGATGACAGTGTGGGTTTTTAATGTTAATTAGCACGGGCGTGCTCGTGTATCTGTGTGAGAAGAGGGGAAATTAATAAATAAATAAATCACTGCACGCTTGTATCTACAGTAAGTGTGAGTTTGTGACAAATGCRTTTCCCAGGCGGGTTAGCGTCTCATCAAGTAATGAGGTGCATATGTGAGGCGTGTGACTTAGCTTTAACAAGTCACACGGGCGTCAAATTGAAATTGTGTTGGCATGCACAAAAATTAGTGAAAGGGAATCGCAAAAATCGAGCACAAAGCCTTATTGTTGGTGTGACTCTGGTGGCTTTTATTCCTTTACAAAGAGCATGGCGATGGCTTTTGCTTCCTCTTCTCCCCCTGTTTGCTTTTTCTTTCCAGGAAACCTGGAGACTCACCCCGACAAAAGAAAAGTACTGCCTCTCTAACAAACTTTATTAATTTAATTTATACTTATTCAAATGTGATGCACACTCTGGGCTCAGCCTTCACAGACGCCCACACTTGAAATATRTTACAGACGCAAACGTGATTCAGGAGCCACATTAGGGTAAAGCTCGCTGTTAGATGACAATTAAAAGAACAAAATCCCAGTTATTACAGGACCCCTGATGAGAACAGAGCTTCAACCACTTAAGGCTCTTTTGGGGCTTAGGACAGGCTAACTGGGGGCTTGCACCAGCACGGCTGCTGGATTACCAGTCACGGAAGGTTCAGCCGCAGGCCGTGGGGAATGTCAGAGAACCTGGCTGATGAGGAGCTTAAAGAGTGCAGTGGACTCTTTGCTTTCAGAATTATAAAATTAAAAAAAGGGCTAAAATATGCTCACTTTATCCAAGGACAGGGGTCCTCCATTGGTGAAGGAGGGTTCTAGATCTGGACCCAAATAAAGTCTTACGTGGACTCAGACTGATGATGAAAATAAAACATGTACAGGGTGAGTCAAARGACTCAGGACACCCTTTTATTGAAGAAAGAAAAGGGAAAATGAAATATCTGAAAATCAAGTAACGGACAAGTGGACCTGTCTTTTAGAATATGTCCAGAACTACTTGAAAGCAGTCATATTATGAAAATAAAAGGGTGTCTTGTGATTTCTGGCTCACTTTATATACAAACCTAGTACAAAAAGTAATGAAATACGAGTTTAGTTGATTATTTCTTTGCTGTAACAATKGGTCTTTTCAATAAATCCTACACCGCTGGAAAGCCTGTTMACTTCCCTTTRAAATGCCACATTTGTATTGAACAGGCATTAGTAAGATCAGCAGTAGAGTATATGTGGGTTGCACAGATGAAAATTTTGCTAAMTCTTCTTATTTTGCTGTTAYTRTTGACACTTGTTTTAAACTTCTAGCACCTCCAGGTGCTGCCAATCAGGTGCCTCATCCAAGGTTTGACTAAAAGTGTTGTTACAGCTAAGAGAAAATCCACCAAACACAGATTTCCTTACTTTTTGACCTACGTATATAATTTGCTTGTGCACGTTTAACCATGTTTACAAAAATGTATTTTAGGTAGGGCAGTTTCTCTCACATAAGCCATCAAATAACTATCTAACTTATCAGAATCAGAATGCAAAAAGTTCATTTTACAAATGATTTCTTTGTCATTGTGTTTCATCACATGTACATTTGATTGGGAATTTGTCCTTCCAGAAAAAGTAACACCTGCCTCCTGGTTCTGTGTCAGTTTGAGCAAATTCTTTAATGGGCCTCATTGACTGAATCGACTGCAGTCTCAGATTCAGTGCTTCCTTTTATCTCTCCGCCGGTGTCACGTCTATTTTCCTTTTAGAAAAACCACACTTTACACATTTGCAAACTTTTATTGATCTTTCATCCTCCTACTGTCCGCTGTGTATTCTAAAAAGCTCAGAACGATTTTCAAAGCYGCCACCATAATGCCTGCAATATCCCCCCCAAAAGCCTGCTGATAGATCTGTCGGAATATATATATATATATATATATATATATATATATATATATATATATATTCCCCCTCTATATAGACAGATCAGACAGATTGCAGGACTCAAATTACAAATTTCAGACAAGTCAGACATATACGCATGCACATCTCCAGACAGGATGAGATCAGACAGAGTTTATTTAAAGGGAGTAACGGGTGGGTGGATTGTGGGGGATTGTACATGTGGAAGGAATGGGGGCATCTGGGGGGCTCTAATAAATTGCACAGATGTTGACTTTTAAGTTAAATCCACATTTTACTCAATAATCTCCACATCAAATACCCCCCACCGGCTGCACCCAAACTAATCAGTGTCACGCACAGAAGGGGGTGGGAGCCCTGGTCTGAACGGGTCTGTGGATTAACCTCCCCACCATGCTACCTCCTCTGTCCTCTGTTTTTCCCGCATGGAGTCCACAGTGGCCTGAAGCCTGAGATGAAGCCTGGAATCCCGGGGAGGCAGGCGGTCGTATGAAACAACAAGCCTTGATTAAATCACCAAACACCACTGATAATAACAAATTCTACTGCTACACATTTTTTTAAACCGTAAATTGCTCAATCCACACTTGGCTCAGTTCCATAACGTTCAGGTGTCTGTTTATATGTGTGCTCGACAGAGAGAGATGATGAATAGCAAACCCTGATAAGGACGCACAGAGGACTCCATTGTTCTTGTTTGTCAGTTTCTTCTCCTTTCACTGCCTTTTTTTATTATCTCTTAATCCCTCCCACTCTCTCTTTCCCTAACTCATGACTGGGGTCATAACTGAAATTTAGAGTCGGACCCAGAGCAGGAAGCTGTAGATGTGGCTCCTGGATGAACAAGCTCTTTTGTTATTGAGGAATTTGCCATGAAAGTGATAGAAATGTAGCGTGAAAAAAGTGTGGGACTGTGAAGCTGCAGGTCAAACCGAGGGTACAGGATGGGTTCAAGTTAGGGCACGATGATATGGCTAAAATTCATRTCACGATTAAACTCCTAATTTTCGGTCGATATGATAGAATGCCAATATTAATATGAATGATAAAAATGCCAGAAAACTGCCAAAAACAACAACATTTACTATATCTACAAACCTGATGCCATTAAAGACATCTTTCATTAAATTATGATTAGTCAGAATAAAGAGATMAATAGATTTACTGGATGACGAGTCATAATTTAATTAYTGATATCTGAAATATRTGTTTCAGATGGTCAGTAGTTTATTATAGATATCTTGAATTAAGCCTCCAAACAACTTAATGTCAAATCTGACTGCATTTAGACCAGTCAGAGTCAGAGGTATCTCAAACATTTAGAGATATCTTAATTAGCTATTTGTAGTCAAAAACCAATTTCAGATATCTGGAATTTAAATGTTGTGAAGCCAATTAACGATCACAAAGTCTTGCCATACCCAGAGTGGTTCAGCTGAGCACTGCCTTTGAGCCTGTGGTGTACGTCAACACGCACTGATGTAACGTTTATCAATCAAATAAAAAAAAGTTATATCACCTTTATTAAAACTTTTTTCCTATCATGATATACATTAATACTGAATTATTATCCAGCACTATCTTAGGTCTGTGTGATCCTGGGTTTGCATGTGCAGTATTTACTTTGTGTATTTTCATGGACCTCAAAATCCAATTCAATTATGATTCAGAGAACAGAGACGCATTTATAAAACAATTATTGATGCCATTTCATTATCTTGAAACCAAAATTAATTTGATTTGTTTTACATAGATAAACACTGATTTATCAATTTTCATGCTTAACAGAACAGTGCTTTGTCAAAAAATACATGCAGGCTGCTGACCAACAGCTAACTTAATATTGAAAACACCACAGAAAAGCTAACATGATTAGCATCCTGAACTACACCTAAAATATTTTGAATTTGTCATTAAGGATGGTTCTGTAAATCATTAATTACAAACATACTGTATTCAGAGATTAGTGAAGAAAAGATGTGAAAACATCTTTACATGTTTCTCCCACAGGAAGCTACRCTAACTCTACGAGGATAAAACCCATTATTGACATTTGTATATTGATTCAAAGTCTTCCCTGTCTGTGATGTGATTAATCTAAAAGTACATTTTTACCTCCCACCCTTTTGTTGAATCTAAAAGAAACCAACCTTGTGGTTCTTGCCATGCCGGTACACCATCCAGTCCTCTCCGTTGGTGCTGACCTCCAGTTTGAAGGTGGTGATGTAGTAAGACTTCTGAGTTTCTTTGGATACAGCTCCCTGTGTGGCAATCCCAGTTAAAACCTTCAGGAAATGGAGGTCAACCTAAAGAAAAATCAAGGAAAAAAAATACAAGCTTAGATTAAAAACCCAAGTTGATTGAAGGATTTGTTGCAGATGCAGATGGAGACAGAGCAGCTGCTGTGTTTTCCTGTCCCACAGACAGACAGCAGGAATTAGTCGCAGACTGTGGCCTGCTGCCAGGGAGGGTTGAGTGTGTATGGGTATCGTCGTGTGTGGAAGGTGAGGGGAGGCTGGAGGTAAAGATCAATAGCGCAGTGTTCGAATGCAGTCCAGGAGAGCACCTTCATCAATCACAGGCTCTCCTCGCTGCTGTATGCCAGCGCCCGCTCCAGACAGGAAAGATTGAGAGTGCAGAAGCACTTCCTTATCATCGCTTCGCAGTTCCTCTATTTCTTTGGTGTGTGTGTGTGTGTGTGTGTGTGTGTGTGTGTGTGTGTGTGTGTGTGTGTG